CTTATCTTCCCCTCATCTCCTTTCTTTTTCCTTCCTAGAGTTCTCATCAAAGTATGCTTCCTTCTGGGTTCCTTTACATGTATTTAAATATAGTGGCCTATTAGCAGCTTCCTAGTATCCTAAGATTTGCTATGACTTACTCCTGATAAAACTTCTCCAAGGAAATAATCATGTTTGGCCCCTCCCTGGTGGTGCAATGGGTTAGGATGCAGCAAGGCAAGCTAGCGCAGCCACTTCAGTGCAAGTTTGATCCCTGATGTGGAAGTGATCCACACGGTGCAGCAGACCTCTCCTGACCCGCTTGCTGCCCCCCTCAGCAGTGTACTTTGTCTATCTGCCTGTTCTGCTCCCCATTTGTCTCTGGTGAGTCCTCTCACTGCCCATGCACCTCTGGCTTGCACTCCAGTTCTGTATGCATAAATAAATAAAAATCTTTTTAAAACTAGTCATGTTCAAGGACAGAAACTTTCTTATTTTCTTATATTTTGAATTTCATTCATTTATAGAAAAATTTACAAACTTCTCAAAATGGAGATATAAAAGGGTTTATCCCAAGAATGTGGGATCATATTTACATAGATTCAATCATGTGATCAAAGCAGTGAAACTACTACTGTGATCACATAGTTACCTTCATTAATCTGTTGACTAAACAGATATCGACAGCATTAATGATTTACTATTTTAAAATTAATTCATACTATTAAAAATTCATGAGCAACACTTGTATTCCTTTCACGATTATTACTATAGCAATGAAAAAACATTTTGTAAATTTATAGTAGTGTGCTTCTAAATACATAGTGTACATTATTATATCATCATAGACTTTTTTTTTTTATTTCTTTATGCATACAAGAGCTGAGTGTAGGCCAGAGGTGAGGGTGGCAGAGGCGGTTAGAGGATTCACTAGAAACAGAGTGGGGGGAAAAAACAGGTGGACTGACTGAATTACACTGCTGAGGGGAACAGTAGGCAAGACAGAAGAGCTCTGCTGTGCCACTTGAATCAGCTCCTTGGCAAGGTTTGAACTTTTGCTGCAGTGGCTGCTGATAGCTTCATAGTGCTGAGACTTAACTCCTTGTGCCACCGGGGATACTCCACTGTCTTTTTCTTTATTATTTAGAGTCTAGTGTAATTAATAATTAAAAAGGTATTATATGTAGAATATCAGTTAATTCAGTTAAAGCATAAATGATTTTAAGGAGAGAAGAAAGCTGTTTCACCTTAGCTGGAATTAAAAACAAAAACAAAAAACTACTCTTTGGGCCCTCCCTGATGGCACAGCGGGTTAAAGCACAGCAGTAAGAATCTAAAGCCACTTCAGCACCGGAGGTGATCCACCTGGCGCCACAGACCTCTCCTGACCCACCCGCTGCTCCCCTCAGCAGTGCACTTTGCTGCTCTGCTTGTTCTGCTTCCCACTCTGTCTCTGGTGAATCCTCTCACTGCCCTTCACCTCTGGCCTGTACCCCAGATCTGTATGCATAAATAAATAAATCTTAAAAAAAAAAACAAACAGCTGCTTTCTTAGAAAATGAGAAGATTTGGTCAAGAAGACAAATACCAACCATACTTACATATTTTAAAACTGAATAGTTTAAACTTTTAAACTTAAATAGTAACCTATTTCAGTAATAGTCCAACTATTACTATAGTTTTAAAAGCCCTTTATTTACATTATCTTGTTAGAACCTTGTATGATCCCTTCTCTATGATATAGAGGGATCTATGCCTCATTTTACAGACAAGGAACTGAGTCAGGGAGATTAACTAACTTTTGGAAAGTGGTTGCTCTCATTTAAAGACTATTTTTATTTTAATGAATTTTAGTTATTAAAATAGAACACTAGCAAAGAATTTTTTATTTTATGTGAAATTGTCACACAACAAAAGATTCTTTTTGGAAAAAGTGTTCAGAACAGGACTCTCCCTGGCGGTGAAATGTGTTAAAGTGCAGCACTAAGAAGCCAGCCATATCTGCTTCAGCACCCGTTCATCCCCTGGCCAGGGAGGTGACCCACATGGCAGAGCAGACCTCTCCTGACTCCTCCTACTTGCTCCCCTCAGCAATGTACTTTGCCAATCAGCTTGTTCTGCTCCCCATTCTGTCACTGGTGAATCCTCTCACCACCCCTGCACCTCTGGCCTGTACCCCAGTTTTGTATGCATAAATAAATAAAACTTAAAAAAAATGCTCAGAACAAATAGTGAAATTTCTAGACAGTTAAATGATACCAGTCATAAATATTTTATTTGGTTAAATGTTATATTTGGGGAAGACTATATTTTACAACCTTCTTTTTGTCCCCATTGAAAAAAAAGGCATCAAATGGTGGAGACCTAAAAGAAACTCCATTGATTTATTACCACCAACTGGCACCTACTGTGTGTGAATCTCTATATTATCTGTTTATAACTGATTTCATACTAATAATAATCATATGAGAAAGTTACCATGATCCTATTTCATGGACAACAAAATTAGGTCAAAGTAATGTTAGCAACTTGTACAAATCACATCACAACTGCAATTGGAAGCTAATTCTGAGTTTCTTCAAACTGGGCTTGTTTTATTATACCATCTGGTGAATTTTATTTTCAAGTTTGAATTCCAATTCCTAGTTGCCTGATAGATTTAAGACTTATTTAATTTCCTTTATGCTCAGATCTATAAATGTATGCTAACTAGTGGAATTTATGTACCCAAGATTATAGGAGCTAGTTTACATTTCACAACTATTTTCTGATGATCTTCATCCACAACTAAAGACATTTTTGCATAATATCATTTGTGGAAATGCCACCTGGAAATAGTTCCTGTGATTCCTTCAGCTGTTATTCAGAATGTGACTAATCAAGATAAATATTAGGTGGGGACATTAATAGTCTTTACACTATCCTGCTTTCAGTACACTTAGCTTAATAGCTGTTCTATCTAGCTCTATTGCTGTGTTTGAAGCAATTCTAAAAGGAATCAAGGAAGGGTGAAAAACAGTATAGAATAATCATTTGGGCAGAATTTGGTTTTTTGCTTCCTTTGTGTTAATACTCAGAGAAACTATGTGTACACTTGTCTATCGTTAGAATTTAGGTGGTTTCTCAGCACTGGGTATGTAAAAAGAGAACTTTCTATTACATTATTTGCCTTTATTTCATTTATATGAAATAGGAATGAAGTATTTTCTCTTTCTTTTATAAAAGTACAGTTTTGTTTCTTTTTATAAAGTATTTTATTTATATATATATATATATATATATATTTAACTTAAGTACCATTGCTTTACACCTTTGTTAATTTTCTTTTAAAGATTCAAATTATGCATGCAAGAGCTGGGGTGTAGGTCAGAGGTAGGGGAAGGTGAGACACAGTGGGGAACAGAACAGGCAAACTGACTGAAGTTCACTGCTGAGGAGAGCAGAGGGTGAGACAGGAGAGGTCTGCCACGCCATGTGGATCACACCCAGGGTGGGGGATGAACTCTTTCTAGAGAGGCTGCTGCTTCCTTGATAATGCTAAGACTTAACCCCTTGCACCACCAGCGAGGACCCCTTGCTAGTTTTTTGACAGTATAGAAAAATAGGAAACATTCCACAAATTGGAGCGTCTGTCAGTTTTCTGCAGGGCTCATGCCTCTGTATGGTTCCAGTTTTAGCATATGTGCTGTTAACCTGAGCACTGCATGTGTCCTTCCACTTTTCAAGGAGACACATTGCCTTCCCATGAAACTGCTTCTAACGTTTAATTTTCTTGCTAATTCCAAAAAATTAAGTTCTTCAATATTTTCCTTTCCTTTTTTTTTTTTTTTTTTTGCCTTGAAATGAGTACATATGTATGTGGCAGAGACAACCGGGGAAAATTTGCAAATTCCAGTACATTGACATTCATGTAATAAATTAGTGTTTAGCCATCTGGAATTAGATTAATTTGGAGACTATGAAAAAGCTCTAATGTGAGAAATCAAAAGAAAGGCAAACTCTATAATGGTCCTATCTCAGGACTAACTAGTTAACATTCTTACTTAAAATACCATGAGAGTATCATTTCAACCCCATAATTAGCATAACATGGGAGTCACAAACTGAAATTCTGTTGTCAACAAGTTTGTTCTTTGATTCAATGTGGAATAAAGTTAGAATACTTCCTACCATCATCATAACTAGAAAAACAAGTATATGACCAGATGGGAGTACATTTAGCAAATGTCAGCTCCATTATAATTAGAACAATCATCACTACTACCCAGTAGAAAATACATCCAGATGTATTTGCTTTATATAATGGGACCCATAATCAATATGATATAAAATAAGTATGCTTTTCTTACGAGCTTTAACAAAATGATAATTTTGTAAAGAAACCAAAAGAAAAACTGTTCGTGCCAACTTGATTCATCTGATTTTAAGTCTGGATGTTAAAAGGATTACATTTCACCTTTAGTGAGAATATGTTAGATTGAAAATTCCATCTCAGCACAATGTGAGTTCCTAAGTATTTCAGCTGTGTAACATGAATCACCTGATAGGAAAGAAGAGATTGCTAATAAAGACTGTTTTTTTGCTAATTGCATATGGAATTTTAACTGGAATGGAGAGAGCAGAGTTTTATTTTAAACCAGATTTGACTACTACATAGAGATCATATATATATATATAAAACCAGAAAACTTTATATTGTCATTGACCCCATGAATACTAACACAGGTAAGTATCTAAGGAACTGTCCTCCCCCTTCACAACCATCACTACTTAGATCAAGCAATTTTTATGTAGTTAATATTAGCATCAACCCTTTTCCTGCTTGTCTGCTTCCTAGCAACATGAAGCACAGTATCTGCGTGCCAATATGCTTTTGGTGAAAAATACGAACAGAAGACCCAGTGAATTTGCCAACAGCCCAGAAGAGATGGGGATGCACTCAATATGCTGTGTTGATTCTGTGAGCCTGGCATGATATTTATGTTGTCAACCGTCTTACCTTGTTGTACTTTCTGCTGCAGGCCAGGGAAGATGTGATCCACATGCTGAAGACAGAGAAAACCAAGCCTGAGGTTCTGGAGGCTCATTATGGGTCTGCTGAGCCAGAGAAAGTGCTGCGGGTCCTGCACCGAGATGCCATCCTAGCCCAGGAGAAATCTATAGGAGAAGATGTCTATGAGAAACCGATTTCAGAGGTAAAAACAACACTAGCAAGTGCTTCTAGAAGGGACAAGCAGAGTGAGAGCCTCACATTCTTTTGTTTCATATGCTCTAGCATTTTCGTTCAAAGGCAAAATCTTTTATGACAACCCAACATAGAACTAAGATACAATTAAGCAATTCAAGGACTATGGATAAGAATTTAGTATTGAAAAGCTTTTGTTAAATATACTTATTGCATGAAATCTATTTCACCATATGATTATGATAATTACATGCTTTTGCAGTCTATTACTCTTATTTCTCTAAGAGATGACATGTATGAAAAGAAGTATTTATCAGCTTTAGTATTGGGTTGTCAGAATTATTATCAAATTGGTAATATAAAATGATTTATTATTAATATTTATGGTTATGTCATTGCTGTGTTTTGGTTTCTTTGTTAAAAACAATTAAAATATTTTCATGTGGGTAGCTAAAATACAATGTTGAGGAAAAATTTCAATGGAATGCTTGGGATTATGGTTTAACATGAAATCTAGTACAGCTGTATTTAATCATGCTTAAACAATATTGTTTTAGGAACTATTGATTATTGTAACTAATTACCCATGATATTACATGTTAAAAATACTCTCACATTGTATAAATGTTCTGTGCCAAGTGGAGAAACTATTGATGAATCTAACCTTATGGTCATTCCAGAATTCATGTAAAAAATTCATAATTTGTAAATCAGCATCATAAATGAAAGTATGAAGCAGTTTCCTATAAGTACACTGTTAAGTCAAACTTTCATAGTAGCTCAGTTTGACAGATTTCAGACAAGATCACAGCATACACAAGAGATTGAGGATCCCATAATTTTCTAATTTCTATACACAGACATAAGTGGGAGGTCTATATTCATATTTTCCTAAAATGCTACTAGATGGTTTTATGATAATATATAGTCGTCAGGCTGTATCTACCTGCTTGTCTGAAATCCCAGATTATTTGCTACATGTGGCTTTGGGTAGGACTCTTAGCTCCTTAAGACTCAGGTTCCTTAACTACCATGTCACGTGAAAGTAACAACTGCACACATTTCATAGAATTGTATGAGGATTAAATGAAGCAATGCCTGTAAAGCTTTTGGCAAGTTTTTTGGTACAACTTGCTTTTGGCAAGTTTTTGAGTACCAACATACTTGGTACTCAACAATGCTAGTGATAAGTATTTCCTGGGACCTGAAGGTGATAATTGTTGACATCCTTAATTAGTTCCAAAGCTAAAGGGATTTGAGAAGTAAAAGACATATAGAGGTCAAAACATCAACCTAAAATTATAATTAGCTGAATTGGAGAATTCAGTTTGGATACATTGTATCACTTCAGCTTCTTCAAAAGACACACTTACCAGGGTATGAACTATCATTTTAATTTCCATACCAATTAAGCCCAGCTAAATTGTTAAATGAAACTCTCCAGATAATTAACAGTGATCCCAATATCGGAGACCCCTCTCCCTTGACAAATATCTGCTGGGTGGGTGGAGGGATTAAGGTACAAATATTAAATTCCTTCAACTTCCTTGTGAGTTAAAGCCAATGATATCAAAAGGAACTAGTATATTAAAAATGTACCACATATGATTGAACAGAAACTATCACCACAATTAAATGTCTCTATGAAAATATAATGAAAGTTTGTTTAGGTATAGACTCAGAAGATTAAAATTCCCATAGCTTTGTCCACCAAGAAATCATAAAAATCTACAACTCTTATGCAAAATTCCAAAGAAATTAAGGTTTCCATTTTCTTTGCTTCTCAAATTCTTGTTCTGACTAAACCTAGCCAAAGGAATCTTAATTGATCACCCAAGTAGAGTTTGCTTTTGTTTTCCCATTCATAAGTTTTAAATACAAGAAAATCCCTGTCTCCCAGGTCAGTTTATCTCAAATGGAATGATATTTCTTGACCCTGGGGCTAAACACAATGCAGGCTCATGTTATTTATACAAATGCCAAAAAGAGACAGGGTATGGCTAAGCACAATAGATAGGGTAGATACCAATAATCTTCAGCTATACAGGAGCCCAGTAAGTCAGGGACAGGTGTCACATTGGACACATCCTGTTATCATGAAAGGTGAATAATTTTTGGAAATGGCAAACTCTAAGTTGGGCAGAGGTGTCTGTTTTGCATGCACTATCCTTGGCTTCACTGAGTGGTATTGGAAACATACGTATGTTTTTGCAGGGTTCAGGAATTTGTAATGGTGACTACCTTTATCCCTAGGTCTAATTTTAGGTGCTCTGCTATTCCACATGAATATTTAAAACTTCTTGAATCTTTTTCTTTTATTGTCCCTGTGCCCAGACCTAGGAGCCCATTTCTTACCTATGGTCTTCCTTACTGCCCCCTTGTGTCAGCTGGACTGTCACTTCCTTCCCCAGATGACCCTTCATAAATACAACCTTCAGATGAGTCACACATATACCCTTCCTTATGGATAAATGGGGAAGGACAGGAAGAAAGAAGGAGAAGCTACTTTTCTACCTATTTTCCAAACAATAAAGCATCCTTATTTATATTATTGTAGGTAAGATTAAAGGGGGGAGAGATTGCTTTTACATATCTGTGGTATTTCAGCAATGCTTGAGAAATTCTATAAATGTGGTAAAAATTACATTCATTTATAGAAATACGGGAGAATTATTTTTGTAACAGTTATTCCAAATAAGAGAATATACTTTGTATAGACTGTCCCTTTGAGACTACAGAAATTTGCCAGAAGACATAAACACAACAATTTGACAGTCTCAGATAGCATCAGCGTCCAGTTAACCTGGGCTTCTCCACCAGTTTGTCATTTACTCTTAGGCAAAGGAAATAAAGATCTAGTCAGAAGTCACAGAGGATTATGGGAATAATACCCTTTTTATTTTAGGTTCCAGCCATGACCTGTTCATAAGAAAGGTTTTGTGCAATTATAGAGGATACTGGATCATCCTTATTATAGAAAGGAAAAATGGAAACGAGAGCAACAGTTACAACCTGAAGTTACTCCAGTGGATCATGGGGAGATGGCTATGGAATGCATTTTAAATATGTCTATTTTGACTAAAGCTTTGGTTCAGTATCAGAGATTTTTCCTCCAGAGGACATTTTACATCGTCTAGGGATAGTTTTGTCACAACCAGGGGTGGTACTACTGGCCTCTTGGGGGCAGAAGCCAAGAATGTTGCTAAAGGCTATCCGATGCACAGGACAGCTCTACTAAAATAAAGAATTATTTGGGCCCTCCCTGGTGGCGCAGCAGGTTAAAGCACTGCACTAAGAAGCTGAAACCACTTCCGCATGAGTTCGATTCCCGTCTGCCCTGGAGGTGACCACATGGCGTGGCAGACCTCTCCTGACCCGCCCGCTGCTCCCCTCAGCAGTGTACTTCGTCGATCTGCCTGTTCTGCTCCCCGCTCTGTCTCTGGTGAATCCTCTCACCCTCCACATCTCTGACCTGTACCCCAGTTCTGTATCAATAAATAAATAAATCTTTAAAAAAAAAATAAAAAATAAAGAATTATTTGACCCAAAATGCCAGTAGTGCTGATGTTGACAGCTGTGGATAAGAATTTGAACAGGAGAATATGATAGAGAATTAGCAAGATTGAAAGAAGCAGTTCAGTTTAACAAACATTCACTGAGCCTTACTTTGGGATTAAAAAGATCTCTAAGGTATGCTCCCCTTCAGAGCGCATACCCTGGCCAGAGAAATAGGTACAAAGACCCTATAGTAATGTTTGAAAAGCCCTATTTTATCTGAGATACATCCTCTGTACAAGTTCTGAAATACCCAGTTAGCTTCTCTTGAAGAAGCTATGACTCTTTCATATACTTTCCCCAGAAATGCACAAAACTGCACACCTTCCCAGGGAAAGAATTTGCTATATGTATGTACTAAACTCTTAGTTTTTCTGAGCTCAAGAAAAATGTCATCCTCTTTCTTTCAGAGTATAGCGTTTTCTGACATTTCATGAAAGCAGTGAGAGTTTGTTCTATTCTGGAAGTATAGGGGAGCCATGCAGAGGTTCATAGAAGAAAAGGGCCAGGTGAGAAGTTACTGCAGCCTTATTATGGCTAGTTTGTAAAGCCAATTAGCCAGAGAGAATGATGGAATGGGGAAAATTGCAAAGAATAACAGACTCAATGTTCTCCTTTTCAAGTAATAAATCCTAGACTAAAGTCAACAAATTATTTAGAGACATATGCAAATGAAATAAAATGTTAAGCTCTTCCCATGTTTGCTTACTCAGTTGGACAGACTTGAGGAAAAACAGAAAGAAACCTATCGGCGCATGCTAGAGCAGCTGCTGCTGGCAGAGAAGTGTCACCGGCGCACAGTGTACGAGCTAGAGAATGAGAAGCACAAGCACACCGACTACATGAACAAGAGCGACGACTTCACCAACCTGCTGGAGCAGGAGCGGGAGAGGTAACGTGCACGCCTGGCTCCAGCCACACTGGCTGCTTGCAGGCCTCTTCCCTCTGGGCTTCCCTATCAGAGGTCACACTTTGGTCCAGTGACACCACAGACAGGTGCCCAGGGTCCAATTCCGATTGCTGAATGGTTTGTGACTATAGAGAGAGAAATAGTTTACCTGGGATTTTTGTGTTTGGGGATGCATCTAAGTAGGCTAGCACATGATTGCTGTGATGTAAAGCTGGAAACTACCAGGGGCTGATATTTGACCTCGATCAATGAAGCACCTACATTTGAAAAACCTTTCTGTTATTTGAAAGAACCCACTTATTCAGGAAGGAAAATTCTTAAATGTATCCACTTAAAATGAAACCTAGTCATTATATTTGGTTGTCTATAAGTAACTTAGTGGCTAGGACTATCTGCTTCACTTTCTCAGGGTTGAATAACTTTAAATTCAACATGAAAAAACTAAACTCAAAGTTAAAACTCACTGTATTGTGTCTTGATGTCCTTGCATGTCATTTTCTCAGACAAGGGATAGCCATGTTTGCAGCAAAAAATGCCAAATTAAAAAGTTTTATAATTAATTCCTCTATACAATCCAGTTTTTCAGCATCTTCTTTTTAGCATATTCACTCCTTTTCCTTCCCTTAGCTGAATGGTAATTCTGTGAACTCGTTTTTGAAACCAATGAAATCCTAAGTCTTTGAGTTACCAAATGTCTCTGCTTCTGTTCTTAGATCTTGCAAATTAAGAGCCACTCAGAAAGAGTTTTTACCAATCTCACTTTATTATCTATTAAATTATTTAAAAGAGATATGACTTTCCCATATAAGTTTACTTGTAAGAAAAACAAAATCTGTCATAATCAGAGTAAATAAAAGAATGCAACAAAACAGGTTTGTGCTGATTTTTAAAATAAATATTGGCAACATTCACTTGATATCAGACTTGGCACATCCTTGGAGAGGAAAAATGGAAGTGTTACATACACAAAATACTCTTAACTCATGATTCCTGTAAGCCTATATTCTGTTCCTATAAACTAAGGATTATCAGTTTCATGTTTGAAAAAAAATGATGGTCTAGCTTGACATTTTAGGGTAACCCAGAGTGAGAATAAAATCTACCTCCTTGATCATTATAAACTGTACTACCTCAAGCACTAAAATACTGCAAAATAGGTTCTGTTGACCTTCTTTGGGTAAACTGCATATCTCTACAACAGCACTTTGTCAAAATTTGATAAGGTAAGAGGTCAATAACTCTTTGATGTTGTCTTGTTAAAAAAGACCTGAAATCATGCAATTATTTTTTATATTTAAAGAGTAAGTTTATTAGAAAGAGACAGGAAAGGAAAAGACACTTGCATAGGTGCAAGCGGGCAGGAAGAGCTGCTGAAATCAAGCAATTTTAAAGAACACTTACACTAATTCATTATTTTCTGATCACTTTGTATATTATCTTTGATCTAGAACCAGATCTGTCTGGTTTTTTTGACAGTTTCTTTGATAGTAGTTCATTTGCATAGTTTGTTCAACTGAGTTGTTGGGGTGGATTGCCTGTACTCATTCAGATTAAGATAAAACTATACTTTTATCTCCCTAATTTTTATGTCTGTGAGAATAATTGAAATAATGCACAATAGAGAGCTTTACATTTTATGCAGTACTTTTCTCTACATGATACAGTGAGCCTATTCCATTTGTTTACTTACTGACTTCACCTTGTTCAACTCTAGATGAACAACTCTAACCCTTGCCCCTTTCTTCAGTTTAGTTTTATTAGAAACAACTACAACCATCACCTCTCCTGAGCAAAATTCTCTATGGAAGGTTTTTAAAATCAAAATCAAACTCTAAAAAATTATTGTAAGATGCATTTGATACTTTGATAAACACCATGGGGAACTAAAAAGGCATTTGATTCATGCTTAAACATCAAACTACTTTCAATTTCTATTTGTCACTGAAGGGGGTTATATTTTAGTATTTTGCTGCTGCGGCTGCTTTTCCCAGGTCAATCCCTGACTGGCCTCCAGTGTACACCATCCGGCAGACCCTGACAGATGCTACTTATGCTTAATTAACCACCCCCCGTAGAGCCCTGACAACTTAAGTTGGCGTCTCTGAAGTTGTCTGAGATCTGAGCTAGCTGCTTTCCAAGGCAGTGAAGCCTTCAGGATTTTCTCAAAGGTCAGGCCTGGGATTTCTGCTGCCTTTTGGAAACTGCTCTACTAAATCTGCTTTGGGTTAAATCCTCTTTTTGAAGTAAGCGGTCATAATTAGATCTACTTATGGGGGCTGGCAGGATGCTGACCTGAGGAGGCTTTCTTTTCTGAGGGCCAGGTCTCTGGGAGCTGACCCCACGAGGAACTCAGCCCGTGACTTGGCACTGCGTCCTTTGGGCTCAACCAGGGCCCCGGAAGCTCTCTGTGGCCGGTACTTGCCCGCCACCCAGACGCACACCTGTAGGGGAAACTGAGCGAGTTAAGAAACAATCAGTGACTTGGAGCACAAGTGGGAGTCATTCTGTAGACTTTTTGTAGACTGTAGACCAAAGTTCCAAGTCTTGTTTTGTGCTTTGTTTTTGTACTCCACTCCCCTTCTCTGGGAAAGATCTTTGTGAGCAAAAGAAGAAAAAAAGATCCAAGAACTTTCCTTTGGTAACATTTCCCTTTGTTTGACTGAACGAGTGAAGGAAGGAAGGAAGGACTTGAGACTTGAGATAGGCCTCAGAGCGTTGTTGTTCCATGTAATCACCCAGTTTCCTCCACTAGGTAGAGTACAGAGCGGGGCACCATCGCCACACCAACAGCATCTAAGCCCCATTTCTCTGCATTTGTCCTGCTCTGTAAGAGTTTCTCACTTCCTCCAGAAAGCTGTTAAAAACAACAGAAAGGGGCACAGGTGTATAAGATCAGTAGTAGCAATGCAGATTAAGACAGTTACCCAAACCAGAAATCTGAGGCTCCCAGCCTTATAACGGACTTTTGCGATCAGCATTTTATTAGTCTTCATTCTACAGATAGAGAAATTGAGGCCCCCAAAAGTTTTGCAGCTAAAGTAAAATAACAGTTCTGGCCACTGGTCTAACACTTTATGCCAATTAGTCTCTCATGCAAAGTAACTTGCAATATGTTTTCTTCTTGTGTGTGTGGACATCTCACCCCTTCCTCTTATAGCCAAACTGTAACACAACACCTCCATAGGCAGAATGGTGGTCACAGTGACATAAACTCAGAGAAATTTGGACTAGTGGGTTTCTCTAGTTTGTCAGGATGGGAGAAGTTTTGGACAGAGCCACATGGGGACTGGGTTTGGAGCTGAGTTTACATAACATTTTGGATGCATTCTGTTTGGAGTAGTTCTGATGGGTGAGTGATGGCAGTTATGGGGAGCTAAACAAAACCCCTCTTCAGGCTACCTACTTTTAATTGTTACTGACCTACACCCGACAAGTGTAACAGCTATCAAAGCAGAAATAATTTTCCACTTTCTAGGAGGTGTTAACTTTATTTTTTTATTTTTTTTTAAAGATTTATTTATTTGTGCATCCAGAACTGGGGAACAGGCCAGAGACTTAGGGGCGGTGAGAGGCTTCACCAGAAAGAGTGGGGAGCAGAACAGGCAGATCGATGAAGCACACTGCTGAGGGGAGCAGCGGGCGGGTCAGGAGAGGTCTGCCACGCCATGTGGTCACCTCCGGGGCAGGTGGGGATCGAACTCATGCAGAAGTGGCTTTAGCTTCTTAGTGCTGTGCTTTAACCCGCTGCGCCACCAGGGAGGGCCAACTTTATTTTATATTTAAAAATTCTGCAAGTGAAGTACCTGAACAAGCGGTTTATTGTTTTGGGCTTCCTTTTTTTCTAAGTTAACAGACTGTGGCCATAGTTTATTGCCATACTTATTGCATATTTACTTTTACAAATATTTCCAAATTTAAAAAAGAAAATCACATGAAAAGTGCTGTGACTTACCTGGCTTTGTTAATGATAAAGAGGGAAATATCCTTCAATGAAATAACTAAAATTGGGTAGAGAAATAGCTTTTGTGTATATGCTATTTTCTGTTTGGTGCATATTCTACATATTCAACTTGAACTTTAAAGGCATAATTCTGAGCACATGAGATCACCTTAGAGTTTTATTTTATTCCCTGTCTGGACGGCAAGACTTGTGACTTTAATTTTAAACTTTACTAAGGCTGTTTTAAGATTGTCAAAATAGAGAGAACACAGTTACACTGAAAAATGGTCTGGAACTTAAAGAAATATTTGAGGGGTATGTAAATTATATGGGGGAGTACTGTCTAAATCTATAACTGTAGATATAGATTTTAAAGTTTTTGGAGTCTATAGACTCTGCTGAGACTACATAAATAATTACATCACCATATAATATTGCAGTCAAACTTCCAAGTATAAATTCATTTTTTTAAAGTACAAATCAGCATCCCAAGAGACATACCTTGACTTGCATAGAAGCAAAAATGCAGGCACAGTGGTTCAAAAAGAAGAGAATCTTTCAAGCCCCATTTTGGTACTTACTCAGGTCAAAGGGAAGGAGAATGGGCATTGCCTCATGGTTCATGGAACAGGCTATATTATTACACTTGCTTATTTAGGGCAATAGCCAATCAGAATACATTTTTTAAAAATTGCTTCAAGAGCCTGGGATCCTGAGAAATATTCTTGGCTCACTTTATAGAAAAAGATTCTCAATAGTTCCTTGGCATAATGTAGCTAAGTTTCTTAGCTATAACTGCCTTATCGCTAAAGAACTTGGTAGAAGTAAATTGCTGATGATATATTAATGACTAAGGCTTATCAAGCAGAAAGTTATCAAAAGGTGTAGCTTAGCAGAAAACAACTGAGCCCTCTTTTCTTTGCTCAACACTCTGCTCCAAGCTATTTAATAGTCAGCTTTTAATGACTCCTCTCCCCCCACCCCAAATATGCCAGGTATGTATATGTCCATTTATTGCCCTAAATAATTAAATCTCTATTCA